GAGCTTCTTGTCAGTTTTTACAGATATAAGAGTTTAAAGTACCGTTACTCAGAAGGAATTGAATTTGAGGTAGAGAGTGCTTGAGCTGTTGAAGACTACTGATATGCAATTCAATATCAACCTAGTAAGCATACAGTGCCGACGCTTTGAGCAGAAATCAGATGGAAATTTGGCGTGATTTGACCATAAGCAGTGAGCCAACTATTGTTGATGAGTAAAAACAGAGAGAGGATAAATTCTTCAAGAAATAGCGAGGATGTCACAAAGCGCAGGTATACCATCGAAATCAATGCTCAGTTGAAGAAGGTTATCGTGCCGACATCCCGAGTTGAAAAGGAGAATTATGCGGAAGCTCATGGTTCCAAGTTTGCTGTTCATCCAGGAGCCAAGAATCAAGATGTGAAGCGACCCTCTTGTGGCAAATGTGAAAGAGGAAATAGCCGAATTGTGTCCCAGTCTGCATTGTCAACAAGTGAAACGAGAACATCAAGACGGTAGGATTCTTCAACCTTTGCCGTTCCTGAGTGGAATGGACAATCCTCCATGGATTTTTGGTGGGTTTGCAGGACGCAAAGAGTATGGATTCAATTATGGTATCGTTGACAGGTTAACTAAGTCAGCACACTTCTTGCAATTAAAACTATGTTTATGCCGACCGACTTGCGAACTGTATATATGATTATTAGACTTCACGGTGTGTCAATGTCATTGTATCAGCACAGATTCGAAATCGTTTCTAGATTTGGTAGAGCTCGCAGGAGCTGGGGCTGAGTTGAGTTTTGCACAGTTTCCACCCCAACTTATGGCAAACGGAAAGAACCATTCAGACACGTGAGAATGCTCAGATGTGTATTGGATTTCAAAGGGAAGTTGGGAATCGCATTAACATAGTAGAATTAGCATACACAACAGTTATCAGCAGATTAGAATGGGCGTACGAAGCTTGTATGGAGAAGCAGGTCGCCGAATGTTGACCGAGGTGGAGATACAGCTTTGATTGGCCGAGTTAGTTCAAAGAACGACGAAAGATTAAGTCATTCAGCAGGATTGAACCGCGCAAAGCGACAGAAGATATGCCGACAGAGGGAGGAGCTAGAATTCGAGGTTGAGGAATATGTATTTTTTAGGACTCGCTGATGACAAGTTTCAAGATTTGGGAAGAAGGTAATTGACACCGATATTGGACGTTGAAATTCTTAGAGAATTACCCCGTTGCCTACAGACTTGCTTTGCGCCAGATTTAGCCAAGTCCACAATGTGTTCATGTTCGATTGAGGAGTTAATCCGAGATCCACATCATTAATATGATCATTCGGATTGGTTAATGAGATTTGGGTCGAGGAGAAACCAATGAGGTATTGGACAGGTAAATGAAGAGTTGAGAAATCAAATACAGTACCAATGGTAAATTCGAATGGAAGGAGCATTACGGCACAGAGCCACGTGGAAAGGAAAGGATGTGAGAATCCGTTTCAGATTTTTATAGGCGGTAATTTAAGTTTGGGACCAAACTTCTTTAAGGGGTAGACTGTAGCAACCTCACCTTACTCTTATCATACTTCATACATTCATGCATATCTGTCTGTTATGTTGTTTGCAAGTTTTGCCTTGCTTGTTTTGTTAATGTGTTTGCATGATTTTGTTCCTTGCTTGTGTGTAGCCGAGTCATCTTGAACTTAGTTCACCTCTGAACCTTTGTGTTTAGAACTATTTTGGAACCACTTGATCAGCCCCATCTTCACCCGGCTTTGTTTGCTGGATGTTTTGCACTATGATCTTGTCCTTGGGCATATGGCCTAGACCAGGTGTGCACAACCCGGCCAGGTGGGGCACAGCTATCAGTGTACGTCTCCCAGCCGATGTCTTGTTACCCAGTTGCCGAAGCTTTGACTTTACCGATGTCATTACTTGCCGGATGTGTCTGCTTAGTTGCTGCATACCTTTGTATGACTTGTCTTATCAATCAATACCTTTTGAGTAAACCAACCGATAGCGCCACATGTCCGAGCTGAAGGTTAAGACAGCCGCAGACTAGAAACAAATCATTTTTATCTCAATCTTGCCTTTAGAGAGAGAAACTCAGAGAGAGGAGAGAAGTTCTTGGTGAGAATAATCTTCCAACTTGATCTTTGAGGTTTTAACCGTTGGATTCGAGTTTGAGGTTAGAATCTTGATCTACTCTGGTGTTGTTATTATCATCTAGTTGATTGCATGATCGGTCTGTTTTGCATGTCATGCATCATTTGAAGTTGGTTTTTGGAAGAGGAAAATAGTATTCATGTGTTCTGAAGAAAGTCTCGTTTGATCCGAAAGTTTGAACCAGAACCATTTTTGTTGTTCTTGCATGACCTTCTTTTGGGGTACCATTGTATGGGTACCCAGGTCCATGTTTTGAACTCATGGCATGAAATCTCCGATTTTGTAACAAGTTACGATCTTGCATTCATCCTTCTCATGATCATGTTCATCATGCTTTTCATGTTCTTCAAAAGGAAACCATGTTTTTCCCGACTTTGCTTTTGAATGAGGCCATTGGGACCACACCTCGGCAATGAGGTGTAGGACCTCGGCAAAGACCTGATTGGTACCCGGTGTGTTTTCATGAGACGGGAGCAGTGTTTAAACTCCCAGCATGTTTTGCTTTGTTATTGACTTGGATCTGGTGAGAATGCCGGGATCATTTGCATGCATATAAAGCTTATTTTGAGAATGTGATTGCCATGTGATTGTAGGTCCTTGATCTTTGCTTTGAGCCTACACCCGAGGAGATCTATGTGAGTGGTGCTTTTAATAAAGCTATGTTATACTGTTTTGATAAATCTTGCTTTGCTTTGTTTTGACGAAAGTATTTGTTAAGCATGAATGAATAGCCCTGTTTTGAAGTATAAGCCTTGTTTTGATGTCATTCTTGAGAAGTCCCTTGTGCTGGAGGACTCTAAACTTTCACAGCACTGAGTATAAAAGGATACGGTCCTTCTTGGAAAGACTATCGTGTTAAAGCGGGCTACGGGCCTAAGTAACACAAGACTAATGTGTTAAAGTGAGCTACGGGCTTAAGTAACACAAGTCCCTTGTGCTGGAGGACTATAAACTTTCGCAGTACTTTTGACTAATCGATTACGGATCGTGCAGTCCTTGTTTTGCCACTGACGGTTTACCGCGTGGACTTGTTTGTTCGGAAAGCTTGATTTGTGTTTTGCCGATGTCAGTAAGCATCCCTCGAGACTTGTAAGACTTTGATAGATAAATACGGTTCATCCCTTGTTTTGATAAAGTTTTGATGTGTTTTGCTTGGAAAGGATCTCGGCTAATATCCGTAAGGTTTTGGCATATTTTGTTTGGAAAAGACTTAAGCTATATTCATGCAAAACCTTTATTACTTGTACCATTCACTGAGTATCCAAGCTCACCCCTCTCTATGTATATGTAGGTGATGAGCAGGACGGTGGCGACGCCTAGATGTGTTTTTGAAAGACTGTTTTGGATCCTTGATTTTTGGTCGGCTTTGTTTTGTATTCACGTCGGCAAATCTTGAAAATCATGCTTCTTGGCTTGTATTCACTGTATTTTGTATATGTCGGCTCGAGAAGCCTTTTGATCAAGATGTAATACGTATCTTGCTTTGTTGTATTCAAGTTGTAGAGATGTATGCCATTTCATTTGATCTATGCACTGCTCTTATGGACCACTGGCATTTTGATTTATTGTTTCCGCATTTGTGAGCCCCGTTTATTATACTCTGATTGTATTAAACTTTTGAAAGTTGGCCTTCGGTAATCTCGGATTACTGGCCATCACGCCACCAAACTACTAGGGGCGGTTTGGGGTCGTGACAATAGGGCTTGTCATTTAACGCTTTCAAATTGTAATGTAAAGGTTGTAAAATGGCCTTACCTTGCAATATTTCAATTGAGTATTAAAATAACCGATCAATAACGCAACCAAGAAGAAGAAAGTCATCTATAAATACTTCAAGACCGCTTCTAACAAATTGTGTTTCACTTTCACCACCATTATATGATTCCCTAAAAAGCACATTGGGCAAGCTTGGTATTACTTACAAGAGTTAGCTTTTATGTATATAGCATTTCAAATTATTAGCTCAAAATAATTAAAACAAGTTGTCATTTTGTTTAGTGCAGATCTTGATAATATGTGAAAAAAGTTGAGCTTAGTGGCTAAATAAGTTGTCACGTAGTTTTTTTATTGTGCAAATATCCCAAATGCCCTCAAAATTTTTTTTATACCAGTAAAAACAAAAGATACGAGGCTCTTCTGTCCATACATATTTAATGGTTTTGAAAATTATTTTTTTTTAAAAAAAAACTACAAATTGTAACTTAAGAAAATCTCACTTTTTTTTGTCAAATAAGCTGAAAAAATCAAATAAGTTATAATTTAAAATTGCAACCAAACAACATTAGTCAACTTTTTTTAAGCAAATAAGCTAAAAAAAACTGACTCATAAGTGTTACCAAATGGGCCCATTAGACAAAATGAAACCAAAAAAATACTAGCTTAAAAAGTTGACATGAATTGAGAAAATGTATCCCTTAATGAATTACAATGAACACACAACCAAACCATGACATATCTACACTACAGTTTTTTTTATCAACTGTTCTAGTATCTACATAAGTTATCTTATTCTACTTTTAGTGCGCAGTAGCCCATTAGACAAAATGAAACCAAAAAAATAGAAGCTTAAAAAGTTGACATGAATTGAGAAAATGTATCCCTTAATGAATTACAATGAACACACAACCAAACCATGACATATCTACACTACAGTTTTTTTTATCAACTGTTCTAGTATCTGCATAGGTTATCTTATTCTACTTTTAGTGCGCAGTAGTCACTTCAATGGTGGAATGTAATTCTTAGAACACCAAATAAGAAATAAATTAAATGTCTTCTGTATAACGTAGAGATGAGAACCACATAATATGAACATCAATCACAACAAGAACAGAGAGAGTACATTCAAGGGAAATACCCACCTGCATGAAAAGCCCGAGGGCATCCATCACAAATAATTAGATCCCCTCCAGATCCACATGCTGCACACATATCATCACTGCTTCCAGTAGCCAGATTTTGTCCATTAGCCAATGACAAAGCTATATCGCGAAGCGTCAGTTCGCCTGAAGTATAGATATTCCGGTAGCTGGAGTAAATAATGGAAAATATTAATTTAGCATAGCGTACTCACAATCACCGAACCAATGATAGGTTTTTTTAAGGCTACTCACGGTTGGCGTCTAGCAGACCATCCAGCATGAGCCTTAAACTGCGAAGGACTAATCTGCTCACAAAGGAAAATAATCTCATAACTGAGACCTATAAATGTCTGGGGGAAAAGGGGCGAAGAGAAGGGGATCCTAGCACTTTATTCAATAAGTGTTGTGCCAACAACTACAAACTATTCCATTTCCTTGTTTGTAGCCCCCAAGTATTCTCTGCAATAAAAAAATAAAATATATAAAATGAAGAAATTGAGAAGAATATAAACACGTCAGCAAAAGAAGAGAGTGCATCAAAAAAACCACCTGTCCTTTGGAATAGTAGGCCAATTCAGCACCATCTAAAAGTCCATTAGGCATGAAAAGTAATCGATGCAGATCATTATCCCTGTAATCAATTTGCAAAATTTCAATAAGCATAAGACTTCAAGCCAAGCCCAAAAAATCCCAGAATTAGAAGCAGACTTCTATAAAAGTACCAAGAAAACTGAGACACTTGACCAGGGAGAGGGAGAATAGAGAGAATAAGTTTTAACTTTTCTTGGTACGACCTTCTGCAGTTTTTTTCTATTTCACAACTGAACTAGAATGGTAGAAGCTTGGCCTACACAAAAGATTGCAAAATTAGTGACAGAGAGAATGATGAATTTCATTTTAGAATCAATTCAATGAAAAAGAATCTTGTCTGTTTCAGAAATATGAATTAACTAACATAGATAAGAAAAAACAAATTGAGAGAGAGCGAACTTCTTAGAGACCCTTTTTTTCTTCCCCTCTAACGCCTCCTTCATGCAGTTTTGCTGTTTAAAATCGTAGTTCTGAACATAGGAAGACAAAGTAGGGCAAAGGTTGTCTTCTATCATTTGACCACTGCAGCCAAAAGCTTCAGTTTAGTGATGTTGTTGGCCGCTAAAATAATAACCTAACAATTCTTTGACCACACAATATAAAAAATCAAAATCAAAATAAACAAATAAACTATAAGGAGCCTTCAAAAAACTATGCTTCGTAAAATCCTAAACTAACAGAAACCTGCTACTTGGTGGGTCTCTTAAGCGATTATGGCCACAAACCATAATCTCTAACACAATTAAGATCACCACAACCATGCATTAGTAGAATGGCAATGTACTGTCAAAAAGAACATTGTACACTTTTATACTTGCAAAATATATGACATGTATATACAGCATGAGTCTTCTAGCAGTATATGATGACACACATGTACTCAAGTTTCACCTTCCTGTTATTATTTGCACAACACCAAACAGCTTTATTATGTACACAACAAATCATATTGGATAATAAATTTGTAAGCTCGAAATGAACTTTTACATGTTAAACAAGTATTTTGAAAATCTGATTCAAAACCAAATATAAAATATATTAATGAGATAATTCCCAAAAGAAAATATTTCATGTACCTTGTGGTAGCATGATGCATCCCAGGAACATGATATGACGTCTCTTCTCAGTTTTAACCATATGACTGTTTTCTTGGAGATTTTCTGCGGGTAAAAGTGAATGTCAAAATCAATTCAATAACTAAAAAGAAGAGCTTTTGCGAAATGAACAGCTTATGCCTAAAGCACTAAAAAGTAAATTAAAAGCTTGGAATCTGCATCACCTTTCCAAACCTGGAAAGACTCTTCATTGACAGATGAACCGACAACATTCTTTACCACTTCATCTAGTACACTATGTGGTGCAGTCTTGAGTTCTTGGATTACACTATATATTGGCTTCCCATTCTCCAGGTATATGTGGTTATTCAGGTGTCTAGTTTTGCCACCAGCATGCAACTCAAACTCATAGGCACTAAGTATCTGCTTATACCATTTAATTGTATGGTAAACAAAATTAAATGCAAAAAACAGCCAAATGACCACACACACATACACACACACACACACAAAAATTGAGATAAAACAACTTACTTTGGAGAAATTGCATAATGAGCAGCCACACAAATATCCACAGCCTTTTATGATTCCAGGAAGCTCTCTCTACAATCATTTGAAACAGAATAAGAGTTCCACATATTTTAAAGATTGAGTGAAATTTTACCAAAATAAAAATGGAACTACAACATACCTCCTGTGAAGTAGTAACGTATTTCACCCGAGCTCCTTCTAAAATCCCAGTAGATAAAAGCTTTTTAACAGTTGTGGGATAACTGTCTGGCAGAACCTTCTTAGACATTTTCAGTTCCATATTAGGCTGACATAAAAAAGCTTTGTTGCTCTCATCAACAACCTTCCCATATGAACTTATTTCTGTATTCATATCATCTGATGCTGAATGATTCCACTGGGAAATGCCATCAGACCCGGAACCCACTACTGTTGCAGATAACTGATTATCATAGTCCTCCTTACGCTTGCTGAATTTGAAGGTAATTTTCCTGATACCAGTGGAGCTGAAATCTTTTGGAATCTTGCGTACAAAAAGGGACGTAGAAACTGCCCCATATGTATCATTTTTACTCTCCTCTTCTTCATTTAGGCTCTCCTCGGATCTTGAATTCCCAGAACAAGTGGACGAATTCTCACAAGAAGCAACTTGGTTATTGCTCACCAACTCGGCCAGTTGACTACTAATAGTCTGAATGCTGCAAGCATTATCTCTTGGAGACAAATTTGGGTTTGAAACTTCTGAGAATATTTCATTGTTTGAAGCTTCCTTAACCTACTTGTTAGAAGACTCCAATTCAATATCACTTAAAGCATCCTTTGTCTGCTTTTTCGTGCAACTAGACTCCAATTCATGCTTGTTAGCACAAGACTCCAATTCAGTATCACTTAAAGCATCCTTTGCCTGCGTCTTTGTGCAACTAGACTCCAATTCATACTTGTTAGCATAAGACTCCAATTTCAGTATCACTTAAAGCTTCCTTTACCTGCTTCTTTGTGCAAGGCTCAACTTCAGTATCGTCTCCTAACTGTCACGACCCCATTCCGCCCCTAGTAGAATGGTGCCGTGATGGCCAATAATCCGAGTTTACCAAAGGCCAATTTACAAGGATTCACACATATTCAGAGTATACATATGGTGCTAACATGTGCAGAAGCAATAAATTTAAATCTAATTAGTCCATAAGAGCTGTGCATAGATCGAATGGAATGTCATACATCTTATCAAGGTCTTACAACTTGGATACAATAAAATGAAATACAAAAAAACACATCTTGACCAAAAGGCTTCTCAAGCCATCATATACAAAACACAATGAATTACAAGCTAAGAAGCATGATCTTCAAGATGCTACAAAATGCGAGTCCAAAACAAGTTGCAAAGCACATCTAGGCGTCACCGCCGTCCTGTTCATCACCTACATATATATAGAGAGGGTGAGCTTGGATACTCAGTGAATGGTACAAGTAATAAAGGGTTTGCATGAATAATATCCGAGATCTTTATCAAAGCGATACACATTATATCTTGAACAAAATCAAAGGCAAAACAAGTTCATCTAACAAGTCTTTCAAGCTTCATCAATCAAAGTCTTTCAAGGCTTTCAAGTTTCAAGGGGTGACATTAATAAAGGTGCTACAAAAGCTTAGAGTCCTCTAGCACGTAAGGACTTTCAAAGGTTGTGCTATAAATGCTTATAGTCCCCTAGCACGTACAGACTATCAAAGGTTGTGCTACAAATGCTTATAGTCCCCTAGCACGTACGGACTTTCAAAGGTTGTGCTACAAATGCTTATAGTCCCCTAGCACGTACGGACTTTCAAAGGTTGTCATCCAAAACAAAGCTTATATTTGGCACACAAAACAAGGATAATCATTCACGCTTGATTAAATACTTTTCAAACAAAGCAAAGCAAGGCTTATCAAAACGTTATAACATATCTTTATTAAAGATACCACTCACATAGTTCTTCAAACGTCAAGGTCACAGGCAAGGATCTAAGGCCTACAAGCACATAACAAATCCCATTGAATGCACTATCAAATAAGCTTTTCATGAATACAAATAATCTCGGCACTCCTTCAAAACTAAGTCAAATCAAAACAAAACACGGTTCTTCATCTCGGAAAAACATAGTGGGCACCAACCAGGTCTTGGCCGAGGTCCCACACCTCCTTGCCGAGGTGTGGTCCCGATGGCCACATTCAGGGAAACGAAGTCGGGAAAATCTTGGGTTTCCCTTTTTTCGATGAACATGAAGAACATGAATGCAAAGAGCATAACTTGTTATTACAAAATTTGAGATTTCATGCTATGAATTCAAAAATATGGACCTGAGTACCCATACTCGAAGACTTTATGAAAGCGAACACAAAAACATGAATCTTAATGCAAGCTTTCGGATCAAACAAGGCTTTTATTCAAGAACACATGAATGACACTTTCTCTTTCTAAAACCAAACTTTAAATCGATGCATGGCTTACAAATCGTGCTCGATCATGCAATGCCGCTAGATGAACAATAAGAACAATGAGAGTAGATCAAGATTCTAACCTCAAGACACGAACCTAACGGCTCAAGGTGTGAAGATCAAGCTTGGAAATCTATTCCCTTTCTAAGAACTCCTTCTTCTTCTTAGAGCCTCTCTCTCTAAAAGACAAGGATATGATACAAAAATGATGTGTTTCTCAACAGCTCACTGACTTAACCCACTGTAGGGACACGTTGCACCGGCTGGTTGGCTCTACTCAAAAAGGTGACTGAGTGAAAAGACAAGACCATGACAAAGTGTGTTCAACAAGCAAGATGACATAGCCACTCCGGCAGGTAATGATCTCGGCTAAGAAGGACAACACTTGGCCTAGCTGTGCCACACCTCGGCCTAGATGTGTCACACCTCGGTCTAGGTTGCACCAATCCAGGAACAAGATCACTTAGGCGCAAAGGTAACATCTCAGCCTAGATAATGTACATCTCGGCCTTGGTGAGGAACACCTCGGCCTAGATAGTGACATCTTGGCCAAGATGCCAAGGTGCGAGTGGAGGTTAACTAAAAGATTCCAAGATAGTCCTAGGTATAAAAGACTCAAAGGTGCGACCCAGGCTTAGGATGACCTCGGCTAAACTCACACCAAGCAAGGAACAAAGTATGCAGTAGCACTTAGCAAAACAAAGACGAGATTTGAAATGCAAGCTTAACAAGACAAAATCGTATAAATGCACGAAAGCATGACTAAGATGAAGTGCGGGTTGTTGCATCCTACCCCCTTTTAAAGAAGTTTGGTCCCCAAACTTGAGTTACCTTGATTCGAAAACAATTCCGGATATCGGACTTTCATCTCTTCTTCCATCTCCCATGTAGCATCCTTGCCGTAATGCTCCTTCCATTCGATTTTCACCATCGGTATCGACTTACTCCTCAACTGTTTCACTTGTCTATCAATAATTCTCATTGGCTTCTCCTCGTAGCCTAAATCTTCATCAATCCTAATTCCGGAATGATCAATCACATGCAGTGGATCCCGAATATACTTCCTTAACATCGAATATGGAACACATTGTGAACTTGACTTAGTTCTGGTGGTAAAGCCAGTCTATAGGCAGCTGGGTTAACCTTCTCAAGTATTTCAAACGGCCCGATGTAACGAGGTGCTAACTTATCTTTCTTCCCAAATCTAGAAGTTCCTTTCATTGGTGAAACCTTCAGGAATACATGATCCCCAACTTCGAATTCCAACTCTCTTCTTCTCTGGTCGGCATAGCTCTTCTGTCGACTTTGAGCAATTTTGATCCTTTGTCGAATGAGCTTAATCTTCTCAGTTGTAACTTGAACCAGCTCGGGGCCAATCAAAGCTTTATCTCTCACTTCAGTCCAACATATCGGTGATCTGCACTTCCTTCCATACAAAGCTTCGTACGGCACCATGCCAATGCTAGCTTAATAACTGTTGTTGTAAGCGAATTCTACTAACGGTAGATGTACTTCCCAACTTCCCTTGAAATCTAACACACATAGTCTGAGCATATCTTCGAGTGTCTAAATCATTCTCTCTGTTTGTCCATCAGTCTGGGGATGAAAAGCTGTGCTAAACTTCAACTCGGTTCCTAAAGCCCTTTGTCAACTCTGCCAAAGTCTAGAAACAAACTTCGGATCTCGGTCTGACACAATGTACATCGGCACTCCATGAAGTCTCACAATCTCATTCATATACAGTACAACAAGTCGGTCAGCATTGAATGTAGTCTGAATGGGCAAGAAGTGTGCTGACTTGGTTAATCTGTCAATGATAACCCAAATTGAATCCATGCCTTTTTGTGTCCTCGGCAAACCAACCACAAAGTCCATGGAGATGCGTTCCCATTTCCATTCAGGAATCGGCAAAGGTCGAAGTAGTCCTGCTGGCCTCTGGTGTTCTGCTTTCACTTGTTGACAATGTAAACACTGGGATACGAACTCGGCTATTTCTCTTTTCATATTCGGCCACCAAAAAGTTTGTTTCACATCTTGATACATCTTAGTGTTCCCTGGATAGACAGCAAATCTGGAACCATGAGATTCCTGCAGAATCTTCCTTTTCAACTCTGGAATGTCGGCTACGTACAGTCTTCCTTCAAACTTAAGTACCTGATTTTCAATAGTGTACCCTGACCTCGGCTTAGTGAGAATCTCATCGGCAACTTTCTTGAAGAATCCGTCTTCCATTTGTCTGGCCTTCACTTCCTCTATAACGGTCGGACTCACTAATCAATGGCTAAACATGCCAGACTTCCAACCAATTTTCTGCTCAATGCGTCGGCTACTGAGTTTGCTTTACCTGGGTGATACTGAATTTGCATCGTATGTCTTTCAATAACTCAAGCCATCTTCTCTGTCTCAAATTTAACTTCTTCTGAGTGAATAAGTACTTTAAACTCTGATGATCTGTGAAAATTTGGCAAGAAGCCCCATACAAGTAATGACGCCAAATCTTCAAAGAAAACACCACGGCTGCTAGCTCTAAATCATGGGTGGGATAATTCTTTTTATGAGGTTTCAACTGACGGGATGCATACGCTATAACCTTACCTCCTTGCATTAACACGTAACCTAATCCCTTATGTGAAGCATCACTAAAATTCTGAAATTCTTCTTTGTCTGACGGTAGTATAAGTATCGGTGCTGTAACCAACCTCTTCTTTAACGCCCGAAAAGCTGATTCCTATCCTCGGTCCATTCGTAAACCACTCCTTTCTGAGTTAGTTTGTGTCAGTGGTACTGCAATCCTTGAGAAATCCTTCACAAACTTCCTGTAAATAGCAGCCAAACCCAGAAAACTACGAACCTCGGACACGTTGGTCGGCGTCGGCCAATTCACGACGACTTCAATCTTACTTGGATCAACAGAGATTCCTTCTTCATTAATCACATGGCCCAAAAATGAAATGTTGGAAAGCCAAATTCACACTTGCTAAGCTTGCATATAATTTCCTGTCTCTTAGGATTTGTAAGGCTAGTCTCTAATGATGCTCATGCTCATCACCACTCTTGGAATAGATCAGTATGTCGTCGATGAAAAACCACGAACTCGTCTAGGTACGCTTAAAAACTCTGTTCATCAAATCCTGAATGCTGCAGGAGCGTTGGTCACTTCGAAAGGCATCACCAAAAATTCGTAGTGGCCATACCTTTGTCCGAAAAGCAATCTTCTCGACATCCTCAGCCTTAACTTTCAGCTGATGGTAGCCCGACCTCAAGATCAATCTTAGAAAAGACCCGTGCCCCTTGTAGTTGTCGAGTAAATCATCAATCCTCGGCAATGGATATTTATTCTTAATGGTCACTTTATTTAGTTCTCGGTATGTGATACAAAGACGAAGTGTACCATCATTTTTCTTGACAAAATAGAACTGGTGCTCCCAAGGTGAAGTGCTCGGCTAATAAATCTCTTGTCGAACAATTCTTGTAATTGTAGTTTCAGTTCCTTGAGTTCGGCTGGGGCCATTCTATAGGGTGTTTTGGAGATAGGCTGGGTTCCTGACATAACATCAACGGTAAATTCTATTTCCCTATCCACTGACTGGCAGCATTCATTTGGAAAGACACGGGGAATTCTCTAACCACTGGGATGTCGGTAACTCAACATTCCATTCAATTCACTTAGTATAC